GTGTGGACTCTTGGTGCTGAACAAGCGAGTACTTGCCACGAAAGGCTTTCCCACATTTGCTACACTAATAAAGCTTTTTTCCAGTGGGGATTCTGGGCGGTGAACAGGAGTGTGCTTATGGCTGGAAGCTTTCCCGCATTCATCCAACTTAGTAGGAGTTTTTTGACTGTCTTCTCCACCTTTGGTGATTTCGTTAGGCTTCTTCTTGTGGAAAAGGCCAGGGACTTCAAGGTCCAACACAACTGGAAGGTCTTCCTCAACCTCCCAGCTTGGGAACGCCTTCTTGACAAGCGGAATAGGCAGCGTTCACGTGTGAAGCACTGTCAAAGTCCTTTTTCAAAGGTTCTTTGCACGTGAGGCTTTTGGTGCTGAAGGTTGCACACTCTCCATCCAAGTATGGTTCTGTTCAGGTAGATCAGCTAGGTGCAAATGTCTTGCAGGACTGGGACACAACATCTCACAAGGATGAATCTTCTGTGTAGATGGACCTGCCTTGGAAGTCCTGACCTGTGGCATTCCTATACTTTTCTCAGGAGGTATCTTTTCATACTCTGTCCTATGCTTGCAACCTGAAAGCAGAGAATTGCTGATGAAATACATGCTGACTATGGTGACAGTGGGAAGCCTCATCACATAGACACCACAGGGTGATTCCACGTTTGTTCTGATAAAGGAACTGAGGACAGGTTGAGGAAGGGGAAGCTTGGTAATGCTGAACCTCTAAAGATCACAGAATAGAGAAGGCCTCTACAGATGAGGGACTCAAGGATAGGATGGGGTACACAGAGAGGCAGTATCAACTTATTCCTCTGCCAATAGCCTTAAGCTACTGAAACTTTAGGATAATTAAGTTATCCTGCAGTAATCCCAAAATCCTTATGGCTTACTGTATGGATTTTAGCACTACTTCATCTGCTATGACAAGTGTATGTGGTATAAGAGATGAGCTGTAGGGCAGTGTTGTGGCATAGTGGGTGGGGCTGCCTGTGACGCCTGCATCCATATGAGCACAGGTTGGAGTCCTGGCTGCTCCACTTCGGAACCAGCTCCCTGTGATGTGCTGAGAGGGCAGCGAAGGATGGCCCAAGTCCTTGGGCCCTGTACCAGTGGGGGACCCAGAGCAAGCTCCTGGCTCCTGGCTTCAGTCTGGCCCTGCCTGGCCAGTGCAGCCATTTGAGTAGTAAACCAGTAGATGATAGATCAAGTCTCTGCTATGTCCTGGGAAAGCAGTAGAAGATGGCCCAATTCCTTGGGCCCCTGAACCCACGTGAGATACCGGAAGAAGCTCCTGGCTCCTGGCTTCAGATGGCACAGCTCCAGCCATTGCGGCCAATTGGGCAGTGAACTGTTGGATGGAAGACCTCACTCTCTCTGCCTCTCCTCTCGCTGTGTGTAACTCTGACTTACAAATAATAAATAAATCTTTTAAAAAAAGAAACTGAGTAGTTAGATTCAGATGTATGTAATTTATATGCATACTTCACCAGACACTGGGTAGAGTCAAAACTGGAAACACTGCAGAGGGAATAATGCAGAACAGGTGATGTGTGGAGTTCAGAGGGATGGGGGAGGCCAAGTGCTCAAGTCACAGATGAAACCAGCTGTCAGAACAGAGTTATATATGGGGAAGAATATGTAGGAGTGAGGTTTGGTGAGAGGCATCTGTACTAAAACAGTGCTAGACACAGGACAGACTTTTTTTTTAAGATTTATTTATTCATTTGAGACACAGAGCTACATAGAGAGGAAGAGACAGAGAGAAAGGATTTCCATTACTGGTTCACTCCCCAAAAGACCGCAATGGCCCGAGCTGAGCCAATCCTAAGCCAGGAGCCAGAAGCTTCTGGGTCTCCCATGCAGGTACAGGGGCCCAAGCAGCTGGGCCATCCTCTACTGGTTCCCAGGCCACAAGCAGAGAGCTGGATTAAAGAGGGAGCAGCGGGACACAAACCGGCGCCCATACGGGATACCAGCACTGCAGGTGGAGGCAGAGTCTTATGTCACAGCACCGGCCCCAAGTCTGTTTATGATTTGAAAACAGCTCTCATGTCATGCCTTCTACTTGCCAATCACTAGAACGAGGCCTTCTCTAAGGCCTTCTAAGGAGCCAGGTTTCTTCCACAACTCAAGTAGTAATTACATGGGGCCTGCATGAAGTAAGTCATACAGGGGAGACAGGCGAATGGTTACCACTGACAAGACATCTTAACAAACAACAGACCACAGGAAAGAAAATTAATAATTAAAAATCCAGAAGGAGGGCTTAAAATAAAAACAGCATATCTTTCCCTTAAGTGTGGACCACAACAATGCCAGCAATCATGCCATAGGCAGCGCAGAAATGTAGACTAGAAGGAGGGACTCGTACCACAAGATGTCATGATTCTGGACATGGCCAGGGACGGAGTAAGCAAAACAAGCTCCATCATGCTGACTGCAAGACACAGCAGGTGTCAGTACCGTCAGGAAGTGCACTGCTCAGAAAATGCACACCGCTCTGTGCTGGCACCCACAGCAATACGCTAATAAGGAATGATAACAAAGCCCAATGTCTGGAAATGCAAAAGGTAAAGCTGCCTCTGGGGAGAAGGATAATGGAGACCAAGACAGGGTTGTTGTGAGGGCCGTACCCAGGGAGGCTGTCAGTGCAAAGTTCCAGCATCAACCGAAGTACAGGAGTCTCTGAGCCTCATCAACAAGTCCCCATCTTCCTGCGAGAAGCAAATGGCCACGTCCTCAAAGGTCAAAGAGCCCTGCTATGACGGGGACAGGTCACTCTCATCACTCCACAGTCAACTTCTCCCATAAGCTCCAGGTTCGTCACCCACTCCTCCATCATGTGCTCTCCCACTTCCCCACATTCCCACCTCAGAGTAAACACAGCGGTCTGGAGACACTGATGCCCACTCTTTATCATGGTCCAGTTGTCACTGTGCCCTCCCACAACGCTACTAGGCAACTGGGCAAGAAGATGCTGTCTAAACTTTGGGCCTGGCCCATACAGCTACAGATCCGTCTGGCAAGTCCTCCGTATGACGCCTCCAAAATACAGACAAATGTGGGTCCCCTTTCTTTCTGCTTATGTCCTCAATGCCAGGGCTCAGGTTTCAGTTCACATGCCCTCTCCATGTGCACAACACTGCTAAATACTACTCATATTGCTGTAGGAGTATGTCTGTCCTTCATTTTACACACCCTCTCCATGTGCACAACACTGCTAATATATCATATGCTGTAGGAGTATGTCTGTCCTTCATTTACATGCCCTCTCCATGTGCACAACACTCCTATAATACTCATACTGCTGTAGGAGTATTTCTGTCTTTCAGTCCACACGCCCTCTCCATGTGCACAACACTCCTAAATACTACTCATACTGCTGTAGGAGTATTTCTGTCTTCAGTCCACACGCCCTCTCCATGTGCACAACACTCCTAAATACTACTCATACTGCTGTAGGAGTATTCTGTTTCAGTCACATGCCCTCTCCATGTGCACAACACTCCTAATACTACTCATACTGCTGTAGGAGTATTTCTGTCTTTCAGTTCACATGCCCTCTCCATGTGCACAATACTCCTAAATACTACTCATACTGCTGTAGGAGTATGTCTGTCCTTCATTTTACACGCCCTCTCCATGTGCACAACACTGCTAAATACTACTCATACTGCTGTAGGAGTATGTCTGTCCTTCATTTTACATGCCCTCTCCATGTGCACAACACTCCTAAATACTACTCATACTGCTGTAGGAGTATTTCTGTCCTTCATTTTACACACCCTCTCCATGTGCACAACACTGCTAAATACTACTCATACTGCTGTAGGAGTATGTCTGTCCTTCATTTTACACACCCTCTCCATGTGCACAACACTCCTAAATACTACTCATACTGCTGTAGGAGTATTTCTTTCAATTCACATGCCCTCTCCATGTGCACAACACTCCTAAATACTACTCATACTGCTGTAGGAGTATTTCTATCTTTCAGTTCACACGCCCTCTCCATGTGCACAACACTCCTAAATACTACTCATACTGCTGTAGGAGTATTTCTGTCTTTCAGTTCACATGCTCTCTCCATGTGCACAACACTGCTAAATACTACTCATACTGCTGTGGGAGGATGTCTGTCTTCCCTGCTTGTTATTCAGCACACGGCATTTAGGGTAGACTGTAAATGCAAACAGGAGCGGGAGCTACCCCAGACTCCAATGATCCTCACTGCTGGAGATGGCCCAGGATCCTGCTCGGAAGCCGGCCTTGTCTGAGTCTTGCTTGCTTCAACTTCAACCTCTCAGATCTCAGATACCTGTAGTCTTCGACTTCTGCTGGTCTCAATGTCCCCTCACCAATCACAGTCTTCTCTCCTCTGAATGTTCATTCAAATTCAGTGCCCTCAGTGGCCCAAAGCATCAAAGCTTCTCCACTCCAGACCCCACTACTCTCACAGATGAACATTTGTGCCCCTGAATTTATCCATTCACCCTGACTAACAACCTCCAGGTCACAGTAAAATCCTAATGTGTCTGCAGCAAGGTGAGTAAGTTCTAGTCCTGGTGTCATAGTTCAGGCTACTATAACAAACACTATAAACAGGGTCACTTATCAGCAATTACAATTTTCTCTCAGAGAGGTGGAGGGCACAAGTTTGAGATTAGCGCACAATCATGTCAGGTTTGGTGAGAACATTCTTCCAGGATGTAGACCATCGTCTCTCCCTAGTATCATCACCTGGTAAAAACAGCACTACCTAGCTCTCTGGCCTCTCTTTACAAGAACACTCACTGATAGTATTCATGAGGACTCCACCTCACAGGACCTCTTGAAGGTTCCACCTCTAAATCCTATCACACTGGGATTAGGGTTTCAATATATGAATTCTGAGGGGGATATAAATTTGGTTCATTGTGCCTGGCATGAACGCTTTCTTCTATTAATTATTCCTATGTCTCTGAGTGTGTCTTATTTCCCTTTTGCCTTAGAAGTGCTGGCTACCTACCAGTTCACCCTTGTTCCCATGCCTGTCTTTCCCACACACCGAGTCCACAGCCTCCACTTGGCCTTTCCTGTGCTACTAACAACATTACCATCACCATAACCAGGACTCCCTTCCCTAGATCACATCACTTCTTGATGTCTCCTTCTTCAACCATTCCCCAGAATTCCAGAGCTATGTGACTAGCTACCTACTTGATGTTTCCACTAATTATTCTTCCAGATATCTCAGACTATAAGGATAGCAAAAAACAAAACTGATGACCCAAACTAAAATTAACCATACCCTCCACTCTACAGACCAAGTGATGGAGATGCTAAGCCCAGAAAGCCTGGAATAATGTTGACCACCACCTTTCCATCTCTCACTGTCAAAATGTGGAAATCCTGGCAACTCTAATTAAAAAACTGATCCAGAATCCAAGCGTACCTTTCACTTTTACAGCCACCATAAGTCTAGCCACTATCAACATTCACCTTGAATAATGCAGTGCTTGCTCCCTGGTCTTTCTAGTGATTCCCTCATAAGCACATCTGTGCTGTAGTAACAAGAAGCCAGAAGATCCCAGTGTGGAATCACCACCTTCCTCTCCTCTAAACCTCCCACTGTCCCATCACCTCTAGAATAGACAGTTTCTCAAGGCCATCCTTGCCCTGCTGCTCTCAGTTCCCATGAGAGAAAAAAGGAGACCTGGGGTCCCATGAACCTTCTGAGTCTCACCAGACATCTACACATTGTTAGGAAAGCCCAAGACAGCCTTTCACATCTCAGTTCACTGTCACCAGCAATAGGGACTACTCCAAGTAACTCCCAACTGGAGAGTAGAGTCCCAGGCTTGGGGTTTGTGCAGTCCTCTGGCCCAAGGGCTGGATGAGTGGTAAGAGAAGAGACCCATGAAAAAAATCCCCAGGATGAGGTGAGTACCAGTGAGGGCTGTTCCACTCACCTGCATGAGGTCCGTACGCACTTCTGTAGACATGGGGACCTATGGGAAAAAGAAGGTCATGAGAGGCAGATGACTACGGGAGAGCTCCACGGGATCAGGCGTCCATGCACCCTACACAGCCTGGAGTCAACTGACCTGGGGGTGCCTACATTTCTTAGCCTCACAGTCCCAGTGTTCAGTGCTCTGACCAGCCGGGGCCTTGGACATGGAAGGCCTCGGCCTCCTTGTGCCTCAGTGTCATCGCCCTTCCCACCTGTCTTTCTCAGAACGAACAGCCTTTGGAAAAATCTTTGAAAAGGCAACCTCAGCCCACGTGCCTCTTCTCTGCACAACTCTCCTTGGCTCCCAGCATCCTGCGGATGAGGGTAAAATTCCTCCACTTGCCATTCCAGGCCTGAGTGCTCCCGGATCCGTCACCTAAACAAAACTTTATACACACCAGTGCCACCCCCTGTCACATTCTGCCACACACCCCATCACACTAGTTCTGGAGTTAGGCACCCCACCGACAAGTGCACTCTGTACTGGGCACAGGGATCTGGATGGAAGCCACCTAAGCAGGTGCCTATCGCTGGGTCGAGGGGTGTTGATGAGGACCCGGAGGGACGCAGGTTTTACCTGAGCCTGGTCCCTTGGCTCGGCCGCCGCCATCAGATTCTGGGAGGAGAGAGACCCGGAGCAGCTAGGAACCAGGGCGGAGACCCGGGAAAGACGGTCGCCGCCGCCTCCCCTCGGGACAAACCGATGTGCAGTGGTGACGACACGCCTGTCGCGCTTTACACTGTCATCACTGCCCATCCAAGAGTTCCCAGAGCTCGGACAGTGTGGACAGAGCACCGAGCTGGTAAACTGACCGCCACAAGAGCGATGCCGGAAGTCCCACCCAACTCTTTGGTCCAAACACGGAAGCGACCCTGTTATGAGCTATGATTGGTTCCGTGTCTTTCCGTTAAGGACGGAGCATCCCGGGTAATGTAGTTCCCACAGTTCCTTAACGGCGGGAAGAGAGCTGGGGTCCGGCGTCGCTGAGAACAAAGGCCTAGAAGTTGCCCGTAGGGCTCAGAGAAAAAGTGTGTCCAACCTGCAAGGGCAAGAGAGGGCCTTTCTCAGAATTCAGAGTTGTGAAGTTCTTGTAAAACAAGGAAATGAGCAGACTTCTTAAAGCCGCTTCATGACAGGAAGCAGGATTTTCTCCCATTAAGAAAAAGAGCAATTAAATGAAAAGATATTGTCAAACTATATATAAAGTATAATAAACGTTTCTACCAGCGTTTTCAAACCAAAAATGAAACAGAACAAGGAAGCTGAAAATTATATTTAAAGTATTCACAAAGAATACGTTTATAGGACGTATACATTAATGTGAACTATTAGTTGGAAGAAAAGGCTTATTTAATATTTTGGATTATGGGGCCACCGCTGTGGGATAGCTGGTAAAGCCGCCTCTGCTGTGTCATCCCATATTCATCCCATATGAATGTTGGTTCAATTCCTGGCTGCTCCACTTCCGATCCATCTCCCCGCTAAAGCGCCTGGTAAAGCAGTAGAAGATGACCCAAGTCCTTGGGCCTGTGCATCCACGTGGGAGACCCAAAGGAAGCTCCTGGCTCCTGGCTTCGGATCAGCGCAACTCCAGCCGTTGCAGCCATCTGGGGAGTGGACCAGTGGATGGAAGACCTCTCTCTCCCTCTACCTCTCCTTCTCTCTGTGTAACTCTTTCAAATAAATAAATAAATCTTAAAAAAATAATATGTACCAAAACTGAGGACTCAAAACATTTTGGCATATTTTCATTTGTAAAAATTTTTGTAGCTTTTATAGTATCTTTTACAGAAAAAGTCTTATATTTAAAAGAAAAATAATCAAAGAAAATACTTAATGTAGAACATAAAAGAGGAGATTATAATATTGTCAGTGATTCTTTTGCCAATGTATACTTTGGCAACTCTTAGAAGAAAGATATCATACACCTAAAATATGCTTTCCACATAAACATCAGAAAAGGGCAAATTATATTGAAAATGACAGAATTTCTCATATACATGCATACATATAAACTTATGATGCTGCCCCCAGCTGTGTCATCCCATATTCATCCCATATGAATGTTGGTTCAATTCCTGGCTGCTCCACTTCTGATCCAGCTCCCTGCTAAAAGCACATGGTAAAGCAGTAAAAGATGACCCAAGTCCTTGGGCCCGTGCTTCCATGAGGGAGACCCAGAAGAAGCTCTTGGCTCATGGCTTTGGATTGGCTCTGGCCATTGCGGCCATTGGGGAGTGAACCAGCAGATGGAAGACCTTTCTCTCTACTTGCCTCTACCTCTCTGTAACTCTGCATTTCCAATAAATAAATAAATCTTTAAGGGAAAAAACAGAGATGGATTTTGCCAGTGTCAGGCTTCAACGTCTAGGCAGGTCGCTCCACTGTGCATGCCGTAAACCTCTGCTTTCCTCTTTAGAGGTATGCAGTGCTTATTTGGCCATTTGTATTCATAGATGATACACCAATGACAATCCAGGGGCTCCAGAGAACATGCACATGGTTAACATGACCTACTTTGGACCCAGAACCCCTGATATTGCAAAAAGTTACAAAAAGTAGAGAAAGCCATTGGCATGAACCCCTCCCAATTGGTTGATATTACCTTTAAAGTACTTAATATAGGGGCCGGTGCTGTGGCATAGCCAGTAAAGCCACCATCTGCAGTGCCAGCATCCCATATGGGTGCTGGTTTGGGCCCTGGCTGCTCCACTTCCAATCCAGCTCCCTGCTATGGCCTGGGAAAGCAGAAGAAGATGGCCCAAAGACCCTGGGCCCCTGCACTCACGTGGGAGACCCGGAAGAAGCTCCTGGCTCCTGACTTCAGATGGCTCAACTCTGGTTGTTGCGGCCACCTGGGGAGTGAACCAGTGGATAGAAGACCTCTCTCTCCTTCTGTCTCTCCCTCTCTCTCTGCCTCTGCCTCTCTATAGCTCTGCCTTTCAAATAAATAAATAATTCTTAGAAAAAAATAAAGTACTTAATACAAGACAGAAAAGAAGACAAGACACACTGTGCTATTTACAGCTCCAATCCCTCAAAACGGGAGAAATAGGAAGGAAGGGAGGAAGACCCTGGGAGAAAAGCAGTATGCTTGCCATAAAGAAAAGGGACATTGGAAAAGAATTGTCAAAATTTGCAAGAGGTGAATACAAACAGAAAACCACCTCAGATGCAGATTGCCATTTGGGTTCAAGACTCTGATGATGAGTAACAAAATCTAGGGGCCCCCTTGATGATATAAGCATCTATACAAATTTCTTTATAGGAGTCCTGGGTACAATTGACAGTGAGGAATCAATTAATTGACATTGTTTGGACACCAGAGTTACCCATTCAGTACTTAATTCCAAAATGACTGAAGAAAGTGGTCATTCTGTAGCCATTGTGTCACCAGGCAACCTCAACAAAGGTCATTACCACATCCATTGGAGTCCTAGTTGAGGGAACAAAATTTGATAGCTTTCTGTATATGCCTGATTGTCTCATCTTGTTGATAGATAGGGACTTTCTTTGCAAACTAAATTCTCAGAGAAATTTCTTTTCAGCTCCATAGCAACTCGACCTACAAAGCATACAACCTAAACATACCCTCCTTTTCCAGTGCTCTCACAGAAAGGAAAGATGGAAGAAGGATCATCTGTCCCCAGAAGTCTTCAAGAATGTGAGCAAAACTGTATGGGCAATCAAGGTGGCATGTACCAATGCCATCTCACTAGTCCAAGTGATCAATTTCAGTTCACAATTGATCATAATGAAAGGACTAAGAGTCAAAGGGATCACATAAACAAGTCTAGTACCCGCTAATACTAACCGATAGAATAAATAAAGGGGAGAGTGATCCGACATGGGAAGCGAGGTACACAGCAGAGTCATAGAATGGCAGATGTCCTAAACAGCACTCTGGCCTCAGAATCAGCCCTAAAGGCATTCCGATCTGGCTGAAAAGCCCATGAGAGTATTTCAGGCATGGAAAGCCAAGACACTCTGAGGGGGGAAAAAAAAAACCTAAATGAAAGATCTCCACGAGTGAGATCCCAGTGGAAAGAACAGGTCATCAAAGAAGGAGGTACCTTTTCCAAAGGGAGGAGAGAACTTCCACTTTGACTATGACCTTGTCTAAATAAGATAAGAGTCGGAGAACTCAAAAGGCTTCCATAGCCTTGGAAACTCATGACTGGAGCATAGGGAGATTACTGATGCCATAAACAGGAGTGTCAATTTGTAAAGTCAACAACAGGAGTCACTGTGCACTTACTCCTCATGTAGGATCTCTGTCCTTAATGTGCTGTACATTGAGATTTAATGCTATAACGAGTACTCAAACAGTATTTTTCACTTTGTGTTTCTATGTGGGTGCAAACTGTTGAAATCTTTACTTAATGTATACTAAACTGATCTGTATATGTGTATATATATATATAAAATTGAAAATGAATCTTGATATGAATGGAAGGGGAGAGAGAGCGGGAAAGGGGAGGGTTGCAGGTGGGAGGGAAGTCATCAGGGCGGGGGGGGGGAGCCAATGTAGTCCATAAGCTGTACTTTGGAAATCTATATTCATTAAATAAAAGTTAAAAAAAAAAACTGTATGGGCAGACGTGATCCCTGGAAAAGCCTTAAATGTCATCCCTGTGCATGTCTGATTAAAACAACAGTAAGATCCCCAAAGCGGGGAGGGGAAGCAGTATCCTTTAATGAAGGGAGAATCTGAAGGGATCCCTACCCATATTTAATAATTTCTTTTTTAAAAAGATTTATTTATTTATTTGAAAGTTGGAGTTACACACAGAGAGAAGCAGAGGCAGAGAGAGAGAGAGGTCTTCTATTTGCTGGTTCACACTTCAATTGGCCACAACAGTCGGAGCTGTGCCAATCCGAAGCCAGGAGCCAGGAGCTTCTTCCAGGTCTGCCATGTGGGTGCAGGGGTCCAAGGACTTGGGCCATCCTCCACTGCTTTCCCAGGCCATAGCAGAGAGCTGGAAATGGAGCGGCTGGGACTAGAACCAGAGCCCATATGGATGCAAGCACTGCAGACAGCAGCTTTACGTGCTATGCCACAGTGCCGGCCCCAATACATTTTTTTTTTAAGATTTTATTTATTTTATTTGAGAGGTAGAGTTACAGACAGTGAGAGGGAGAGACAGAGAGAAAGGTCTTCCTTCCATTGGTTCACTCCCCAAATGGCTGCAACGGCCAGAGTTGTGCCAATCCAAAGCCAGGAGCCAGGAGCTTCTTCTGGGTCTCCCACGTGGGTGCACTTCCACTGCTTTCCCAGGCCATAGCAGAGAGCTGGATCGGAAGTGGAGCAGCCGGGACTAGAACCAGAGCCCATATGGGATGCCTGCATGGCAGGCGGAAGATTAAACTACTGTGCCATGGCGCCAGCCCCAATACATTTATAAAATATCAACTAATACAGCCTTGTCAGGCTAACTACAACATGCCCAATGGGGAACAGCATATTCTAATTGCTGAGAGAAGCTTTTCATTTCATGGACTTATGTCAGATTGAGAAACTCATGAGAGCTTGAAGAAATTAATTCCAGAGTTAGATCAAACAGAGGACTTGTTTGTTGTTAGGTCTTACAGTTTGTTTGAAAATCATTCTGGGAGAATCCACACTCATTATTCAAAACGCCTTCAGTCAGCATATAGAATAAGGGGTTCAGAAGAGAAGAGGCTATGCAACATGATA